AACTGCATTAACCCCTGTGGTAACTATCAGTTAACAATCATGTTTTTATTTGAGAATATATAATTTGATATGTCTTTGTAAGTATGCTTTTGGTGTATGTTGATGATGACTGAGATGTGTTATAATGTATTTAATATTTGCATCTCTTCAAGAGTGTTTAAGTCAGTCGATCACTTAAAGTTGAAAAGTTGCGGGGCTGAAAATTAGTATATTTTCTAAAAATGCTTCTATGAATCAAAATAAATATAGCTGACTTTACTCAAGGAGCTGGATTATTTGAGTTATGCTTGTGATGGATTTTTCTGTATATAAATGCATTTAAATGTTAGAGTAACGTGCGTTTCCCAAAAGGGAATATCAACTTTAGGAATGAGAATGAGATTCTCATTCCCAAAATGCGATCAGGTTGGAAATGAGAGTGAGCTGAGAAGATGGAGGCCACTATTATTTTTGTACATTACGTTTGGCTCTGGAGCCAAAAGGAAGTTAGCTTATACATTCCAGTATGTTGACATTACAGGCCTTAATACTCTATTTTTTTTTAACCAGTCTTCTTGTGTTTATGGTTCACATTCATATTTGTACTGTAAATGACATGAATCTGAGCTCCAAAACCCATGCGCAGATTTAATTGAAATAGGAGCCACATGATGCTCTGAGTTTCTCCCCTCCCCTCTCTTCTCCTCTCTATGTATCTTTATGTCACGATTATATGTCACTAACTGTGTGTCTCCTCTCTCCCGTAGTGTGTCCTCTCTCTCTCTCTCCCTGTACCTTTCTGCAGGTTGCTGCAGTTGGCCCTGGCTCTGGAGCTCTATTTTTCTGATGAGCAGTCCCCAGCCACATCAACCTGACCAGTGTTTGATTGTTGTTGTGTTTGTTGTGTCTTGTTGCTTTTCTTCTTTTGTCTCTCCTCTATCCACTCACCCCAACCGGTCGAGGCAGAAGGCCGCCCACCAAGAGCCGGGGTCTGTCTGAGGTTTCTTCCGTTAATGGGAGTTTTTCCTCCCCACTGTCACCAAGTGCTTGCTCAAGGGGGATTAGTTGGGTTTTCCCTCTGTAATAATAGTGATAATAGTAAGGTCTAGACCTTACTTTGTAAAGTGTCCTGAGATTACTTTTGTTGTGATTTGGTGCTATACAAATAAAATTTAATTTGAGTAATTTGAGAGTGCAATATTAAATCAAAGCTCTTTTCAAACTGAAAATGTTTCCATTGTAGGGGTCAAGGACCATTAAAGGCAAAATGTTCAAGAAAAACAGAAATATATTTTAAAAAAAATTAAGATGTATGTGACGTGTCAAACTCAACGCCCGCGAGTTCATTTTATATATCTTGTTTTTTAATGGCCCTGCGATATGAAGCGCCGATAACACACAAACCACAAATCCCATAATGCAGCGCAACAGCTGCCTTACCCAATGATAGACAACCTGCGATCATTCCCATGTTAATTACGTCAGATCAATCAAACGTCTGTTGATGTATACAACCCTAATTTCAGGTCAAAGCTAGCCCCTAACAATGGCCAAGAGGAAAGTTGATTCTGAAAACAGAGCCTTTCTAAACCGGTGGGAGGCTGAGTATATGTTTACTGACATTGTCGGTAAACCCGTGTGTCTTATTTGTGGAGCTAATGTGGCTGTAATTAAGGAATATAACCTAAGACGGCACTACGAGACAAAACATCAGGACAAGCTGAAAAACGTGAATGAAGAGCAGAAGCTACAGAAGGTAGAGGAGTTGAAGAGGAATCTGACATCACAGCAGACGTTTTAACTAAAGCCAAATCACACAGTGAAGCTGCTGTGAAATAAGTTTTATTGGAGCAGAGGAGAAAATCAGCCCTGGACATTTACCGAGGGAGAGTTTCTGAAGAGCTGCATGATGAAAGTGTGAGACGTCTGGTGTCCAGACAAAAAGCAGGTGTTTGTAAATGTACTAAGCCTTAGCAGAAATA